TGCTGTGGGTTGTGGATATATATAGCAGGATATGCCTCCCTAATATTTTTAACCCCCTGGCTCTTCATAGTGCTAGCTTCATAGGTAACTGTAAGCAGGCCCACTCCTCTCAGCCTCTTTCCCCTCCTGGCTTTTGGTCTTTGACTTTGAGTTAGGGCATCTTTTTATTTGAGGCTGGTCCATGGGATTTACAAACATGAAAGGCATGGGCAGCAGTGGGTCTGCCTCCATGGTCAGCTCCAGAGCGTCCTCCTGGGGGCCTGTGCTGTGTGGGGGGGAGAGCAGTGCTGGTGTGAGCTGAGCTGAGCTGAGCCAGCCACAGCCTGCTGGGAGAGGGGCATGGAGCCTCACCAGTGCTGCAGCCCATCTCCTCTGCTTTCAGGAGCTCCAAGGCCCTGGCCAAGTGTGGACCAGAGGGTGAACTCACTTTTCTTGTTCAGATAAACACACTGGTCTTACTCAGTGCTCTGGGGATCCCACCATAATCCAGAGGAGTAACTAGGAACAGGAGGAATCTTGGCCATGATGGTGAAGCCAGTATAGGAGGAACATCCTGGGAGTCAAGGGACACGCTGCTAACGGTGCTTCCTAACATGGCACTAATGTTCCTAACACTGTGGGACTGTGCTGCTCCTATGCACGGTGGCAGCAGGGACAGCCCTAAGTCCCTGCTGCTGCCCTCCATTGTGGTGCTCTGAGTGGGAATATAGGTGGGGACTGGGATATGGAACCCATCTGGCAGTGTTTATCAGCCAGAAAGGCGTCAGAAAGGCTGGCTGAGTGGCAGGGCTGGGGCAGCCATAGGGGTTCAGGGGGGCCAGAAGGGTTGAGAGATTGCACAGGGGTTGAGGGATTGCACAGGGGTTCTGGGGTAGGCAGAGGAGTTTAGGGGCAGGCACAGGTATTCAGGGACAGCAGAGGGGTTCATTGGCAGGAACAGGGCTTTAGGGGAAGGCAAGCACTGCTGGGGCTGGGAGTTCTGCCAAAGAAACACACATGCGGCTGGAGCCCGTTGCTCTTCTTTTCCCTCCTTCTTTAATTTGTTCGGTTTTTCGGGTTTTTTTTAAACTTGAGGTTACAGGCATTGTTCCTTCTGATGGTTATGGTTTTACAGTATAGCTCCAGGATGCGACTCCCTCGTATTTTACGCATATGCACACACACGACTGCCCGTGAAACTTTGGGTAAAGATCCCGCGGCCGCGCAGCTGGGAGCGCCCCTGGATCACTCTCGCTGTCTGTGTGACGCTGGGGGCGAGATTTGGTTGCCGCTGCCCTTTGAAGCGCCCAGGGCCGCGTCCGGCCCCGCGCGGTCCCGTCCCGGCGGGCGGGGCGGGGCGGGGGGCGGGG